CCGACGCGCGCGCCTACGGCACATTCCTGTCAACGACACCGGATTATCAGGCGGGGTGATGCCGACATGAAAGACTGGGACGATGCGTTCGCCAACATGGCCCACGTGCCGGGCTCCGGCGAACTTCCGGGCCGGTGGGCGGCCGATGCCGCCGCCTATCGCGCCGGCGGGGTGAAGGTGGAGGCCGACATCGCCTATGGCGATGCCCCACGTGAACGTCTGGACATCGTCTGGCCGGACGAAACGCCGAAAGGGCTCGCCGTCTTCGTCCATGGCGGCTACTGGATGCGGTTGTCGAAATCGGACTGGACGCACTATGCCGAAGGCGCACGCGCCAGGGGATGGGCGGTGGCGCTGCCCAGCTACACGCTGACGCCGGAGGCGCGCATCGCCGCGATCACCGCGCAGATCGGCCGCGCGCTGGCGGTCGCCGCCGACCGTGTCGCCGGTCCCATCCGCCTGTCGGGCCATTCGGCGGGCGGACATCTGGTCACCCGCATGATCTGCGACGACACGCCCTTGCCGCCGGACGTTCTGGCGCGCATCGAACACACGCTGTCGATCAGCGGGCTGCACGATCTGCGGCCGTTGATGCACACGGCCATGAACGACACGCTGCAACTGGACGCGGCGGAAGCGGCGGCGGAAAGCGCCGTTCTGCACCGGCCGGCCGGCGAGCCGCGCGTCACCGCATGGGTCGGCGGCGGCGAGCGCCCGGAATTCATCCGTCAGGCGCGCATTCTGGCCACCGTCTGGGAGGGGCTCGATGCGCAAACAGCGTGTCTGGTCGACGGAGACCACAACCATTTCACCGTGATCGAAGGTCTGCGGGCCCCCGACAGCGCGATCACGCGCATGTTTGTCGGGTAGTTTGTCGGCGAGGCCGGTTCATATAGGGTTCGACGGCACCGCATTTGTTTGGTTGGTGCCGGGCACCGGCATGTTGCGCTTGGCACCAAGAGATGGGGAGGTCGCATTTTGACCGAGGCCTACGATCCGACCGATGAAGGCGCCAAGACGTCGTTTGCCGGGGATATGAGTTATGGCGATTATCTGTCGCTCAATCCGATCCTGACCGCGCAAAGCCCGCTGTCCGATGCCCATGACGAGATGCTGTTCATCATTCAGCATCAGACGTCCGAACTGTGGATGCGGCTGGCGCTGCACGAATTGAGCGCGGCGCGCGATGCGCTGGCCAAGGGCGACTTCCAGCCCGTCTTCAAGATGCTGACGCGCGTTGCCCGCATCTTCGAGCAGTTGAACGGCGCCTGGGACGTTTTGCGCACGATGACGCCGAGCGAGTACACCGCGTTCCGCGAGGACCTCGGCGCATCGTCCGGGTTCCAGTCGCATCAATACCGCCTGATCGAATTCGTGCTCGGCAACCGCAATCCGGCGATGATGAAGGTGCATGAACACCGGCCCGAACTGCATGCCAGGCTGACCGCGGAACTGGCGCAAAAGTCGCTCTATCATGTCGCGCTCGACCAACTCTCCGCCCATCTGGAGCGGGATTTGCCGCCCGGCATCTATCGCATGGACGCGCCGCACCGGGCCGATGATGCCGTGATGGCGGCGTGGGCCGAGATCTACACCGATCCGCGCCGCCACTGGTCGCTTTACGAACTGGCGGAAAAGCTGGTCGATCTGGAAGACTATTTCCGGCGCTGGCGGTTCAACCATGTCACAACGGTCGAGCGGATCATCGGCTTCAAGCGCGGCACCGGCGGCACGTCCGGCGTGAAGTACCTGCGCCGGATGCTGGAGGTCGAACTGTTTCCCGAACTGTGGAACGTGAGGGGGCAATTGTGAGCGGAGCGACGAGCGTGCAAAGCGCGATGACAGCGCTTCCCGTCAAGCAGCGGTTCAACCTGCCCGACGGGATGATCTATCTTGACGGCAATTCGCTCGGCCCGCTGCCGCGCACGGTTCCCGATCGTCTTGCATCGATGGTCGGGCACGAATGGGGCGAACATCTGATCAAGGGCTGGAACGTCGATGGATGGATGGGGCAGCCGGTCGCGGTCGCCGACCGGATCGGCCGTCTGATCGGTGCGCCGGAAGGCACGGTGGTGCTCGGCGACACGCTGTCGATCAAGGTCCATCAGGCCTTGTCGGCGGCCCTTGCGATGCGGCCCGGCCGTCGTGTGATCCTGTCCGACAGCGGCAATTTCCCGACCGATCTCTATATGGCCGAGGGCCTGATCCGGCAGCTGGACAAGGGGCACGAACTGCGCGTTGTCGATCCCGAGGCGGTCGCTGGTGCCATCACCGAAGAGGTGGCGGCGGTGATGCTCACCCATGTCGATTACCGCACCGGGCGCATGCACGACATGGATGCGATCACGAAGCTTGCCCATGAGGCCGGCGCGGTGATGATCTGGGATCTCGCCCACAGTGCCGGCGCCGTGCCGGTCGATGTTACGGCCTGCAAGGCCGAGTTCGCGATCGGCTGCACCTACAAGTACCTCAATGGCGGCCCCGGTGCGCCGGCCTTCATTCAGGTGCGTCCGGACATTGTCAATGATGTCGAGCCGGCGTTGAGCGGCTGGCTGGGCCATGACGCGCCGTTCGCCTTCGAGCCGCACTACCGGCCGGCCTCGGGCATCGAGCGGATGCGCGTCGGAACGCCGCCGATCATCCAGATCGCCGCGCTCGACGAAGCGCTGAAGGTCTGGGACGATATCGACATCAACGATGTGCGCGCGGCGAGCATCGTGTTGTGCGAGTTGTTCATCGCCGAGGTCGAGGCGCGCTGCCCGGACCTGACGCTCGCCAGCCCGCGCGACGCCGCCATGCGCGGCAGCCAGGTCTCGTTTGCGTTCGAACACGGCTATGCGGCGATGCAGGCGCTGATCGCGCGCAATGTGATCGGCGACTTCCGGGCGCCCGACATCATGCGGTTCGGCTTCACGCCGCTTTACATCGATGAAGGCGATGTGCGAGCGGCGGTGGATGTTCTGGCCGAGGTGCTGGACAAGCGTCTTTGGGACGACCCGGCCTATCAGGCGCGCGGGCGGGTGACCTGACGCGCGCTAGGCACGCTCCCCGGCGTCCCGCCGCGCCTTCATGAACATCGGACCGCCGCGCCAGCGCGGGAAGCCGTAGCCGCTGGTCATGACGACATCGATGTCGCCGGGCTTGGACGCAATGCCCTCATCGAGAACCTTCTGCGCCTCGGTCTGCATGGCCGACAGGATGCGGTCCATGATCGCGTCGTCCGGCAGACTGGCGGGCTCGATGCCCTTGCGTGCGCGTTCGGCGTCGATCAGCGCGGTCACCTCGGGATCGGCAACCGGCTTTGCGTCTTCGTAGCGATACCAGCCGGCGCCGGTCTTGCGGCCGAAGCGGCCCTGTTCGCAGAGCTTGTCGGCGATCGCCACATAGCGTTCGTTTGGATCGCGGGTGGCGGCGCGCCGCTTGCGCATCGCCCAGGCGATGTCGAGGCCGGCCAGATCCTGCATCTCGAAGACGCCCATGGGAAAGCCGAAGTCGCGCATGGCGCGGTCGACATCTGCGGGCAGTGCGCCGTCCTCGATCAGGTAATCGGCCTCCCGCCGATAGGCGGACATGATGCGGTTTGCGATAAAACCGTCGCAGACGCCCGACAGGACGGCGGTCTTCCCGAGGCGCTTTGCGAATGCCGCGGCGGTGGCCACGACATCGTCGGCGACGCGGTCCGGCACGACGATTTCCAGAAGCTTCATGATGTGGGCCGGCGAAAAGAAGTGCAGGCCGATCACGCGCGAGGGATCGGCGACGGTGGACGCGATGGCGTTGACGTCGAGATAGGAAGTGTTGGTCGCCAGGATCGCATCGGTCCTTGTGACGGCGTCCAGCTTTGTGAAGACGGCCTTCTTGACGTCCATCTCCTCGAAGATCGCCTCGATGACCAGATCGGCCCGCGACAGCGTGCCGTAGCCGTCATGGGCGGAGAAACGGTTGCCGATAGCGGCGCGCATCGTCTCATCGACGATGCCGCGCCTGGCGCTTTGATCGAGGATCGACGACACGCGTTCGTGTGCGGCCTGCGCGGCTTCGCCGTCGCGCTCGACCAGGATCACGGTCAGACCGGACAGAAGGCAGGCCGCAGCGATGCCTGCGCCCATGGTGCCGCCGCCGATCACGCCGACAGTGCCGAACGGGCGCGGCCTGCCCTTGCAGCGCGGATCGGACAGCGTCGCCCGTTCCGCCATGAAGATGTGCCGCAGCGCCGCCGACTGATCGGAGGCTTTCAATTCAAGGAAAGCATCGCGCTCGGAGGCCAGAGCCTCGTCGGCCGGCAATTCGAGAGCGCGTGCGACGGCGTGCACGGCCGCTTCGATCGATTGCTGTCCGCGCGCCTTGGCAATCAGCTTGGCCTTCTGGGCGGCGAAGGCGTCCGCATCCGCCGGGTGCCGGACCGGACGTTCAAGCGTTCGCGGCTCGTCGCCGGTCGTCGATCGCGCCATGTCCCGTGCGGCGGCCACAAGGTCGCCTTCGGCGACTTCATCAACCAGCCCGGCGCGATGCGCCTGCGCCGCGCCGACCGGCTTTCCGCCGGCGACCATCGTCAGCGCGGTCTCTGCCGGCACCAGACGCGGCAACCGCACTGTGCCGCCGGCACCGGGGATCAGGCCGAGATTGACTTCCGGCAATCCCAGTTTTGCATCGGTCGCTATGACGCGTGCGCGGCAGGCCATGGCCAGTTCGAGCCCGCCGCCAAGCGCGGTGCCGTGGATTGCCGCCACCCAAGGCTTGGCTGCCGCCTCGATCGCGGCGACCACATCGGGCAGATGCGGTTCCCTCGGCGGCTGGCCGAACTCGCGGATATCGGCGCCCGCGACGAATGTCCGGCCCGTGCAGCGCAGGATGACGGTGCGGACGGCCGGGTCGGCGTCGCAGGTAGCAACGGCTTCCATCAACCCCTGGCGGACGGCGTGTGACGCCGCATTCACCGGCGGGTTGTCGATCGTGACGACGGCGCAATCGCCGTCCCGTTCAAGGGTGACGGCCATGGCTTACTGGAACGCCTGCAGGCCGGTCTGGCCGCGGCCGAGGATCAGCGCGTGCACGTCGTGCGTGCCCTCATAGGTGTTGACCGCCTCGAGGTTCATCACGTGCCGGATGACGCCATATTCGTCCGAAATGCCGTTGCCGCCATGCATGTCGCGCGCCTCGCGCGCGATCGCCAGCGCCCTGCCGCAATTGTTCCGCTTCATCAGGCTGATCAGTTCGGCTGAAGCCGTATGATCGTCGATCATCCGGCCCAGCCTGAGCGCGCCCAGAAGGCCCAGGCTGATATCGGTCTGCATGTCGGCCAGCTTCTTCTGGATCAGCTGGGTGGCCGCAAGCGGCTTGCCGAACTGCTTGCGGTCCATCGTATAGTCGCGCGCCGCAAACCAGCAGGCTTCGGCGGCGCCCATCGCGCCCCAGGCGATGCCGTAGCGGGCGCGGTTGAGGCAGCCGAACGGGCCGGCCAGGCCCTCGGCGTGCGGCAGCAGATTGTCCTGGGGCACGAAGACCTCGTCCATCTGGATCATGCCGGTGGTCGAGGCGCGCAGGCTGAACTTGCCCTCGATCTTCGGTGTTTCCAGCCCGTCCATTCCGCGCTCAAGAATGAACCCCTTGATGGCGTTGTCATGTGCATCGGACTTGGCCCACACGATGAAGACATCTGCGATCGGGCTGTTGGTGATCCAGTTCTTGGCGCCCGACAGCCGGTAACCGCCATCGACCGGTTTGGCGCGGGTGGTCATGCCGCCGGGGTCGGAGCCGTGATCGGGCTCGGTCAGGCCGAAGCAGCCGACCCATTCGCCGCTTGCCAGCCTGGGCAGAAATTTCGACCGCTGGGAATCGGTGCCATAAGCGAAGATCGGGTGCATGACGAGGCTGGACTGGACCGACAGGGCCGAGCGGTAACCCGAATCGATGCGCTCGACCTCGCGGGCGACCAGGCCGTAGCCGACATAGTTGGCGCCGACGCCGCCATACTCCTCGGGGATGGTCGAGCCGAGCAGGCCCAACTCGCCCATTTCATTCATGATTTCGCGATGGAACACTTCGTGCCGGTTGGCTTCGATGACGCGCGATGCCAGCCGATCCTGACAATAGGCCGCGGCGCTGTCGCGGATCATCCGTTCCTCGTCGGTCAACTGGTCGTCGATGAGAAACGGGTCCTCCCAGTTCAGCCGTGCCGGGCGGGCGCGGGCGGTTTCGGGCGTCTGCCCCACATGCGTCGCTGCATCGGCCATCGGCGATCTCCCTTTGCTGCGGTGCGCGGAGGCTATCGTTCCGAGCGATATGTTTCAAGCAAGAAATTTTATGCTTGAAATAGATTGAACCTCGTGCCACGCTTCGATCCCAGAGGCAGGGAGAGGCAGATGCGCATCGCATGCCTGGGAGGAGGGCCGGCAGGCCTGTATTTCGCGATCTCGATGAAGCTTCGGGATCCGTCGCACGACATCGTCGTCATCGAGCGCAACCGGCCGGACGACACGTTCGGATGGGGCGTGGTTCTGTCCGACGAGACGCTGGAGAATCTGGCGGACAACGACCCGGCCAGCGCCAGGGCAATCGGCGCGAACTTCGCCTATTGGGACGATATCGCGCTTCATTTCCAGGGGCAGCGGCTGGTCTCCACCGGGCACGGCTTTTGCGGCATCGGCCGCATGAAGCTGCTGGAGCTGCTGCAGGATCGCGCCCGCGAACTGGGCATCGAGATGCGCTTTGAGACCGAGATCGAGAGCGCCGAGGATTACCGGCGCGACTTCGATCTTGTCGTCGCCAGCGACGGGCTGAACTCCAAGACGCGGACGCTCTACGCCGACACGTTCAAGCCGGACATCGAGCAGCGGCTGTGCCAGTTCGTCTGGCTCGGCACGCGCCAGACCTTCGCCGACGCCTTCACCTTCATATTCGAGCAGACCGAACATGGCTGGGTCTGGGCCCACGCCTACCAGTTCGATGACGACACCGCGACGTTCATCGTCGAGTGCGCGCAGGACACGTTCGACGCGTTCGGCTTCGGGCAGATGAGCCAAGAAGAGAGCATCGCCGTCTGCGAGGCGATCTTCAAGGATCATCTGGGCGGTCACAGTCTGATGACCAACGCCAACCACATTCGCGGTTCGGCCTGGCTGCGTTTTCCCCGGGTGCTGTGCGAAAAGTGGAGCCACGAGAACGTCGTTCTGCTGGGCGATGCGGCGGCGACCGCGCATTTCTCCATCGGGTCGGGCACCAAGCTGGCGTTCGAATCCGCCATCGCGCTCGCCGAATATCTGCACACCGAGGCCGATATGACGGCGGCGTTCGCCAAATATGAGGACGAACGGCGGCTGGAAGTGCTGCGGCTGCAATCGGCGGCGCGCAACTCGCTGGAATGGTTCGAGCATGTCGATCGCTATCTGCATCTCGATCCGGTGCAGTTCTACTATTCGATGCTGACCCGGTCGCAGCGGATCAGCCATGAAAATCTGCGCCTGCGCGATCCCGACTGGCTGCGCTCGGCGGAGAAATGGTTTCAGGAAAAGGCGGGCGTTGGCGCCAACGCGCCGGTGCGCGCGCCGATGTTCGCGCCGTTCAGGCTGCGCCGCATGGACCTCAAGAACCGCGTCGTCGTTTCGCCCATGGCCCAGTATAAGGCCGTCGACGGTTGTCCGACCGACTGGCATTTCGTCCATTACGCGGAGCGCGCCAAGGGCGGGGCGGGGCTCGTCTATACCGAGATGACCTGCGTCTCTCCCGAAGGGCGGATCACGCCCGGCTGCCCGGGACTTTACGCGCCCGACCATGAAGCCGCCTGGCGCCGGCTGACCGAGTTCGTTCACGCCGAGACCGACGCGAAAGTCTGCTGCCAGATCGGCCATTCGGGCCGCAAGGGCTCGACCCAGCTTGGGTGGGAGGAAATGGACGCGCCGTTGCCCGACGGCAATTGGGAAACCGTCTCGGCGTCACCGATCCCGTGGTCGGACCGCAACCCGGCACCGCGCGAGATGAGCCGGGCCGACATGGACATGGTGCGCGACCAGTTCGTCGCCGCGGCCGAAATGGCGGACCGGGCCGGCTTCGACATGATCGAGCTGCACGCGGCGCACGGCTATCTGGTCTCGTCCTTCATCTCGCCATTGTCCAACCGGCGCAGCGACGCGTATGGCGGCAGCCTCGAAAATCGCATGCGCTGGCCGCTGGAATTGTTCGCGGCGATGCGCGCGGCATGGCCCGCCGAAAAGCCGATGTCGGTGCGGATTTCCGCGCACGACTGGGTCGGCGACGATGGCGTGACGCCGGATGAAGCGGTCGAGATCGCGCGCATGTTCGAGCAGGCCGGCGCCGATATCATCGATGTTTCGGCCGGCCAGACCTCGACCGATGCCCGGCCGGTCTATGGCCGCATGTTCCAGACGCCGTTCTCCGACCGCATCCGCAACGAGACCGGTGTCGCCACCATGGCGGTCGGCAACATCTACGAAGCCGATCACGTCAATTCGATCCTGATGGCGGGACGCGCCGATCTGGTCTGCCTGGCACGGCCGCATCTGGCCGATCCCTACTGGACCGTTCACGCCGGCGCCGCGATCGGCGACCGCCACGAGAAATGGCCCGATCCCTATCTCGCCGGCCGCGACCAGCTTTGGCGGCTGGCCGACCGCGAGGCGGACATGGCGGTGCGCGTATGACGCTCGATGGCCGGCATGCGGTGATAACGGGCGGTGGCTCTGGCGTCGGGGCGGCGACCGCGCGCGCCTTCGCCGATGCCGGCGCGGTGGTCACCGTGATGGGCCGGCGCGAAGAGCCGCTGCGCGCGCAGGCCGAACATGAAAGGATCGGCTACCAGCTATGCGATGTCACCGACGCCGACGCGGTGACAAAGGCCTTCGAGGCTGCGCGGGACGCCTGCGGGCCGGTGTCGATCGTTGTCGCCAATGCCGGCGACGCCGCGTCCAAACCGTTCGCGGCGATGCAGGCGATCGATCTCGATGTCATGCTTGCGGTCAACGTCACGGGCGTCTTCAACGCCTACAAGGCCGCGCTTGCCGACATGCAGGCGCTTGGCTGGGGACGCATGATCGCCACCGCCTCCACAGCCGGGCTGAAGGGTTATGGCTATGTGTCGGGCTATTGCGCCGCCAAGCACGGCGTCGTCGGGCTGACGCGGGCGCTGGCGATCGAACTGGCGCGCACCGGCATCACCGTGAATGCCATCTGCCCCGGCTTCATCGAGACACCGCTTCTGGATCGGTCCATCGAAACGATCGTGGCGAAAACCGGCAAGAGCGCCGAAGAGGCCGCAAAATCGCTGCGTGCCGGCAACCCGCAGGGACGTTTCATCCAGCCCGACGAGGTGGCGCAGACCGCGCTGTGGCTGGCCAGCGACGCCGCCCGGTCCGTCAACGGCCACGCGCTGAGCATATCCGGGGGCGAGATATGATGCCCAAGACCCACCCGACCAGCGACCCGCTCTCCAAGCAGAGGCTGCGTCTGTGGCTGCGGTTTTTGAAGGCGCAAAGCTCGATCGAAGCCGAGATCCGGCGACGGCTGCGCGACCAATACGGGTCCACCCTGCCGCGTTTCGATGTCATGTCGGCGCTGGCCCGGTTTCCCGACGGTCTGAAGATGAGCGAAATCTCCGGCCTTCTGAAAGTGTCCAACGGCAATGTCACCGGCATCGTCGACCGTCTGACGCAGGACGGGCTGGCGCTTCGGGTTGCGGTGCCCGGCGACCGCCGGGCGCAACTGGTGCGGCTGACGCCGGCGGGCCAGTCGGCCTTCGCCGAACTGGCGCAAGCCCATGAGGCCTGGCTCGACGAGATGCTCGGCGGCCTCGGTCCGGACGAACTGGACGGCTTTGGCGAATTGCTCGACGGCGTGTCCGAACATCTTGGCGAAGGCGGAGACTAGGGCCATGCGCAGCGACACACGGCATTTCAAGTGCACGATCGACGGGCCGGTGGCACGCATCGCGCTGAACCGTCCCGAACGCAAGAACCCGCTGACCTTCGAGAGCTATGCGGAACTGCGCGACTGGTTCCGCGACCTTCACTATGATGACGAGGTGCACGCTGTCGTCTTCCTGCCCAATGGCGGCAATTTTAGTTCCGGCGGTGACGTGCACGACATTATCGGGCCGCTGACGCAGATGAGCATGAAGGAGCTTCTGGCCTTCACCCGGATGACGGGCGATCTGGTCAAGGCGATGATCCATTGCGGCAAGCCGATCATCGCCGCCGTCGAAGGGATTTGCGCGGGCGCCGGCGCGATCATCGCCATGGCGTCGGACCTGCGGGTTGCAACGCCGGACGCCAAGGTCGCCTTCCTGTTCAACCGGGTCGGCCTTGCCGGCTGCGACATGGGCGCCTGCGCCATGCTGCCGCGCATCATCGGGCAGGGCCGGGCCAATGAGCTTCTGTATCTGGGCCGGTCCATGAGTGCCGAAGAGGGCCATGCCTGGGGGTTTTTCAATCGCCTGTCGGACGCGGCCGAACTGGAATCGGTGGCCATGGAACTGGCCGAACGCATCTGTGCGGGGCCGACATTCGCCAATGCCATGACCAAGACGATGCTGGCGCAGGAATGGTCGATGTCCCTCGATCAGGCGATCGAAGCCGAAGCGCAGGCGCAGGCCATCTGCATGCAGGGCAACGACTTCCGCCGCGCCTATGAGGCGTTCGCGGCGAAGAAGAAACCGGTCTTCGAGGGCGATTGATGGCGGACCGGAGCTTCCTCGACTGGCCCTTTTTCGACGATCGGCATCGCGCGCTTGCGGACGAAATCGATGCGTGGGCGGTCGGGCATCTGGGCGGCGTCGATCATGCGGACGTGGATGCGGCCTGCCGCACACTGGTCTCGGATCTCGGCGCGGCCGGGTTCCTGGAGCACACCGGCGCAGAGGACGGCAAGCTCGATGTGAGGACGCTGTGCCTGATCCGTGAAACGCTGGCGCGCCATGAGGGGCTGGCCGATTTCGCGTTTGCCATGCAGGGGCTCGGTACCGGCGCCATCTCGCTGTTCGGGTCGTCCGACCAGAAAGCGCAATGGCTGCCGCTTTCCCGCTCGGGCAAGGCGATTGCCGCCTTCGCGCTCACCGAGCCGCAATCGGGCTCCGATGTCGCCAACAGCACGATGACCGCCACACGCGATGGCGACGCCTTCGTGCTCGATGGCGAAAAGACCTGGATCTCCAATGGCGGCATCGCCGACGTCTACACGGTCTTTGCGCGGACAGGCGAAGCGCCGGGCGCCAAGGGCCTTTCGGCGTTCATCGTTCCCGCCGGCATCGACGGTTTCGAGGTGACCGAACGGCTGGAGACGATCGCGCCCCATCCGCTGGCGACGTTGCGTTTTTCCGCCTGCAAGATCCCGGCTTCGTCGATGATCGGCAATCCCGGCGAGGGGTTCAGGATCGCCATGTCGGTGCTCGACATCTTCCGCCCGACCGTCGGCGCAGCCGCGCTCGGCTTCGCGCGCCGGGCGCTCGATGAGTCGATCGGCCGGGTTGCAAAACGTCATGTGCAGGGCGCGCCGCTGTCCGATCTGCAGATGGTCCAGGGCCATATCGCCGACATGGCGCTCGATGTGGATGCGGCGGCGCTTCTAATCTACCGCGCCGCGTGGACCAAGGACATGGGTGCGCCGCGCATCACCCGCGAGGCGGCGATGGCCAAGCTTTTCGCCACCGACCGGGCGCAAGAGGTGATCGACAAGGCCGTCCAGCTTCATGGCGCCGACGGCGTCCGGTCGGGCCATGCCGTCGAGACGCTCTACCGCGAAATCCGGGCACTGCGCATTTACGAGGGTGCATCGGACGTTCAGAAAGTCGTCATAGCCCGCCAGACGCTCGGCGGCTGAAAAAGGAGGAGAACTGCAATGAAAGAGCTGGAAAAGGGCATCACCGAAAACGGTGTCGGCTACAAGGAAACGACCTGGAACATTCTCGGCCAGACCTATTATCCGAAGGCGGTTTGCGAGAGCACATTCGCCTTTGAAACGAACTCGGCTCCCGGCGATGCCGTGCCCGTGCACATCCACCCGACGCAGGACGAGTTCATTCTCGTGCAGGAAGGCGAACTGGACCTCAAGCTCGACGGCAAATGGACCAAGGCGCGTGAAGGCGATCTGGTGCGCATGCCCCGCGGCATTCCGCATGGCTATTTCAACAAGTCGGACAAGCCGTGCCGGGCGCTGTTCTGGGTCTCGCCGGCGGGCAAGCTGAAAGAGCTCTTCGAAGAACTGCACAACATGACCGATGTCGAGGCCGTCGTGAAAGTCTCGGCCGAGCACGATGTCGATTTCCTGCCACCGGAAGCCAATGAGTGAGCCATGCCCGCTCCCTCCGCCCATACCGATACCTTTACGCGTGACAACCTGCCGCCGCTCGACCAGTGGCCGGATCTGCTGCTGGACGGCTTCGACTATCCCGAACGGTTGAACGCGGGGGTCGAACTGACCGATGCGATGGTCGGCAAGGGTTTTGGCGACCACACGGCGCTTATCGGCAACGGCCGGCGGCGGACCTACAAGGAACTGACCGACTGGACCAACCGGCTGGCGCATGCGCTGGTCGACGATATCGGCGTCAAGCCGGGCAACCGGGTGCTGATCCGCTCGGCCAACAATCCGGCGATGGTCGCCTGCTGGCTGGCGGCGACCAAGGCCGGCGCCGTCGTCGTCAATTCGATGCCGATGCTGCGCGCGGCGGAGCTGTCCAAATATATCGACAAGGCCGAGATCGCCTTTGCGCTGTGCGACACGCGGCTGATGGACGAAATGGAGCCCTGTGCCGCTACAAACGCGTTCCTCAAACGTGTCGTCGGCTTTGACGGCACCTCCAACCATGACGCGGAACTGGACCAGCTGGCGCTTGAAAAGCCGGTCCGGTTCGATGCCGTCCAGACTGCGCAGGACGACGTCGCGCTGCTCGGCTTCACGTCGGGATCGACGGGCGAACCCAAGGCGACGATGCATTTCCACCGCGATCTGATGATCATCGCCGACGGCTATGCAGCCGAGGTTCTGGGCGTGACGCCCGACGATGTCTTCGTCGGCTCGCCGCCGCTTGCCTTCACGTTCGGGCTGGGCGGACTGGCCATCTTTCCGCTGCGTTTCGGCGCGACCGCGACGCTGCTGGAAAATGCCAGCCCGCCCAACATGATCGAGATCATCGAGAAGTACAAAGCGACCGTCTGCTTCACCGCGCCCACCGCCTATCGCGCCATGCTGCGCGGCATGGAGGAGGGTGCCGACCTGTCTTCGCTGCGTGCGGCGGTCTCGGCGGGCGAAACCCTGCCGGCGCCGGTCTATGAGGAGTGGCGGGAAAAAACCGGCAAACCGATGCTCGACGGTATCGGGGCGACGGAATTGCTTCACATTTTCATCTCCAACCGGTTTGATGATCACAAGCCCGCCTGTACGGGCAAGCCGGTGACCGGATACGAGGCGAAAGTGGTGGACGAAAAGGGCGACATCGTCGCGGCCGGAGAGATGGGACGGCTGGCCGTGCGCGGGCCGACCGGCTGCCGCTATCTGCGTGGCGAGAACCAGGCCAAATACGTCATGGACGGATGGAACATCACGGGCGACACGTTCCGGGTCGATGACGACGGTTATTTCCATTTCGCCGCGCGCAATGACGACATCATCGTGTCGGCCGGCTACAACATCGCCGGGCCGGAAGTGGAGGCGGCACTGCTTGCTCACCCCGATGTGGCCGAATGCGCCGTAATCGGCGCACCGGATGAAGAGCGTGGGGCGATCGTCCAGGCCCATGTCGTTGTCGGTCCGGACGCATCGCCCGACGAAGCACTGGTCAAGACGCTTCAGGACCACGTCAAGGCGACGATTGCGCCGTACAAATATCCGCGCAGCATCGTCTTCGTGGACGCCCTGCCGAAGACGCAGACCGGCAAGGTGCAGCGATTCCGGCTGAAGCCGTCACCCCGTCACTGAAGAGGTCGTCATGAAGTGTGTTTTCGTTCAGTTCAGATGTCGTCCAGGCACCACCTACGACGTGGCCGATGAGATCGCGCGGCGGGAGATCCATTCCGAGCTCTATTCGACGAGTGGCGAGTACGACCTTCTGGCCAAGCTCTACATCCCCGAGGAGGAGGATATCGGCCGTTTCATCAATGACAGGCTGCTCGACATTGACGGGATCGAACGGTCGCTGACGACGCTGACATTCAGGGCGTTCTGACGTTTGCAAGAACCATCAAACAGGGAGAGAAACATGAAACTGAAAAGCCTTATGATGGCGGCCATGGCCGCCGCGATGGTCCTGCCGGCCAGCGCAATCGCGGAAACCAAGGTCGGCATGATCACCACGCTGTCCGGCGGCGGCGCGGGTCTTGGCATCGACGTGCGCGACGGATTCCTTTTGGCGATCAAGCAGTCCGGCCGTGACGACATAGAGGTCATTGTCGAGGACGATCAGCGCAAGCCGGACGTCGCGGTTCAACTGGCCGACAAGATGGTCCAGGCCGAACAGGTCGACGTGCTGACCGGTATCATCTGGTCCAACCTGGCGATGGCCGTGGTGCCGTCGGTAACCGCGCAGGGCAAGTTCTACCTGTCGCCCAACGCGGGTCCTTCGGCACTCGCGGGCGCGGGCTGCCATCCCAACTATTTCAACGTCGCCTGGCAGAACGACAATCTGCACGAGGCGGCCGGCGCGTATGCCAACAGCGCAGGCTACAGCAAATCGTTCATCTTGGCGCCCAACTATCCGGCGGGTCAGGATGCGCTGACCGGCTACAAGCGCTTCTTCGAGGGCGAATTGGCGGGCGAGATCTACACGACGCTCGGCCAGACCGACTATGCGGCCGAAATCGCGCAGATCCGCGCTTCGGACGCCGACAGCGTGTTCTTCTTCCTGCCCGGCGGCATGGGCATTGCCTTCCTGAAACAGTATCAGGATTCGGGCATCGACATCCCCGTCGTCGGTCCCGCCTTCTCGTTCGATCAGGGTATCTTGCAGGCGGTCGGCGATGCGGCGCTCGGCGTCGTCAACACCTCGCAATGGAGCAAGGATATCGACAACCCGACCAATGCCGCCTTTGTCGAGAGCTTTCAGGCCGAATATGGCCGTCTGCCCTCGCTCTATGCCAGCCAGGGTTTCGACACCGCCAACCTCTTAATCTCGGCGCTTGAGAAGGCCGACGTCTCCGACGCCGATGCGTTCCGTGACGCGCTGCGGGCCGCCGATTTCGACAGCACGCGTGGCGATTTCGAGTTCGGTCCGAACCATCACCCGATCCAGACCATCTACGCGCGCGAGGTCATCAAGGAAGGCGATGTGTACACCAACAAGCTGATCGGCCCGGCGCTCGAGAACCATGCCGACGCCTATGCGGGCGACTGCCAGATGTAACCCGTTCGGCCGGCTCCTTCCCATGGAGCCGGCCATTGGAACCCTTTCCCATGTCCTTCATCCTCCTTGTCGAGCAGATCCTTAACGGTCTGCAGTTCGGCATCATGCTGTTCCTGATGGCGGCTGGCCTGACGCTGATCTTCGGCGTCATGGGGCTGATCAATCTGGCGCATGGATCGCTCTACATGATCGGCGCCTTCGCCGCCGCAACGGTGGCCGGCTACACCGGATCGTTCGTGCTGGCGCTCGCGGCGGCGCTTGCTGCGGCCGCGATCGTCGGCGCCATCGTCGAGCTGGTCGTGATCCGAAGGCTCTACGACAAGGATCATCTCGATCAGGTGCTGGCGACCTTTGCGCTGATCCTGATCTTTTCGGAAGGCACGCGCTGGCTGTTCGGCTCGTTTCCGCTGTTTCTCGACATTCCGGACTATCTGTCGGGACCGGTGACGCTGCCCGGCGGCATCCAATATCCGCTCTACAGGCTGTTCCTGATCGTGGTTGGCCTTCTGATCGCGCTTGGTCTCGGCGCGCTGATCACGAAAACACGGATCGGCATCCAGATCCGTGCCGGCGAGAACGATCGCGAGATGATCGCCGCGCTCGGCATCGACATTTCGCGCCTTTACACGCTGGTCTTCGCATTGGGCGCGGGGCTCGCCGGCATCGCCGGCGCGCTGGTGGGCGCGATCCAGTCGGTGCAGGTCGGCATGGGCGAACCGGTGCTGATCCTCGCCTTCGTGGTCATCGTCATTGGCGGGATCGGCTCGATGAAGGGTGCGCTGATCGGCGCCATCCTCGTCGGGCTCACCGACACGCTCGGCGGCATCTTCCTGCCCGAACTGCTCAAGCTTTTCACCGATCCGGCGACCGCCACCTCGGTCGGTTCGTCGCTGGCGTCGATGGCGATCTATATCCTGATGGGGGCGATCCTGATCTGGCGGCCGACCGGCCTGTTCGGAGCGAAGTCATGATCGCCGAGCGCTATCTGAACGCCGCGATCCTGGCGATCTTCTTCGTCGTGCCGGCATGGGCCTGGTGGGCCAACGAACCGTTCACGATCACGCTGATGACGCGGGCGGCGATCTTCGCGCTGGCGGCGGTCGGCCTGAACGTCGCGCTCGGACTGGGCGGACTGGTGAGCCTGGGCCATGCCGCATTCTTCGGCATTGGTGGTTACGCCATGGGTATCCTCGCTTTTCATGCCCAGACCGTCACGCCGGTGATGGAATGGCCGTTTGTCATCGAGGGCACCAAATCGATGCCCGTCATCTGGCTGACCGCGATCGTCCTGTCGGCGCTGGCGGCGCTGGTGATCGGGCATTTGTCGCTGCGCACGTCGGGCGTCTATTTCATCATGATCACGCTGGCGTTCGGCCAGATGTTCTTCTTCTTCTCGATCAGCTGGTCGGCTTATGGCGGCGAGGACGGGCTGTCGATCTGGGTGCGCAACGACTTTCCCGGGCTGAACACGCTGCAACCGATCCAGTTCTACGGCTTGTGCCTGGCGATCCTGTGCACGGTGCTTTGGTTCACCAGCCGGCTGGCCAGATCGCCGTTCGGGCTGGCGCTCAACGCGGCGCGCCAGGTGCCGCAGCGGGTCGAAACCGTGGGGCTGAATGCGACGCGGCTCAAGCTGGTCGCCTTCGTGATCTCCGGCGCGATCACGGGACTGGCCGGCGCGCTGTTCGCCGATCTCAACCGGTTCGTCAGCCCGACCATGTTTTCCTGGCAGATGAGTGGCGAGATCATGGTGTTCATCATCATCGGAGGCGTCGCGCGGCTGTTCGGGCCGGTCGCCGGCGCGCTGGTCTTCGTGGCGCTCGAGCATTTCCTCGGCGGCCTGAGCGATTACTGGCTGGTCTATCTTGGCGCGTTGCTGCTGCTGATCGTCCTGTTCGGCCGCGGCGGGTTGATCGGCATCGTGTCCGGCCGGGAGAAAGCGCATGGCTGATCCCGTGCTCGCGACACATGGCATTTCCAAGAGCTTCGGCGCCCTGAAAGCCAGCGACGACGTTTCGATCGACCTTCGGCCGGGCGAGATCCATGCCATTATCGGGCCCAATGGCGCTGGAAAGTCGACGCTGATCGCGCAGATTTGCGGCACGCTGATGCCGGACGCCGGCAGCGTGCATCTGCTCGGTCGCGACGTCACGCAGCAAAGCACGCGCGCGCGCGCCAAGGCGGGGCTTGGCCGCACCTTCCAGATATCGGCGCTGGCGATGCAGGACACCGTGCTTCAGAACGCGGTTCTTGGCGCGCTGGGCGCATCTGGCCGGCCATGGCGCTTCCTGTCTCCGGCGCTCGAGGACGCAGATCTGCGCGCCCGCGCCGAGGCGGCGCTGGAGCGCGTCGGCCTTCAGGACCATGCGGCGACGCGAACCGCCGAACTCAGCCACGGCCAGCGGCGGCAACTGGAAGTGGCCGTCGCGCTGACGCTGGAGCCCAGCGTTTTCGTCATGGACGAGCCCATGGCGGGTCTGGGGTCGGAAGGATCGAAACGGCTGACGGGGTTTCTCGACGAATTGCGCCATGAGGCGCCGATCCTTTTGGTCGAGCATGACATGGACGCGGTGTTCACGCTCGCCGACCGGATCAGCGTTCTTGTCTACGGCAAGGTGATCGCCAGCGGCAGCATCGATGAGATCCAGTCGGACAGGCAGGTCCGGGAAGCCTATCTTGGAGAAGACGCGTGAGCCTTCTGTCGGTTTCCAACATCTCGGCCACCTATGGTGCCAGCCAGGCCCTGTTCGGCGTCGATCTGGATATCGGCGCGGGCGAAGTCGTTGCGCTGATGGGCCGTAACGGCATGGGCAAGACGACCACCGTCAAATGCATCTGCGGCATGCTGCCCTTCAAAGGCTCGATCACCTTCAGCGGCCATGATCTGGGCCGGCTGCCAAGCCACAAGGCTGCCCGTCTGGGGCTGGGGCTCGTGCCGGAGGGCCGGCGCTGCTTTGCCGGTCTGACCGTATACGAGAACCTGATTGCTGCGGCGCGGCCGGGCTATTGGACCCATGAGCGTGTCGTCGAACTGTTTCCGCGGCTGGGCGAGCGGCGCAACCAGATATCGGCCTCGCTTTCGGGCGGCGAGCAGCAGATGCTGGCGATCGGCCGGGCGCTGATGACCAACCCGAAGCTGCTGATCCTGGACGAGGCGACCGAGGGCCTGGCGCCGATCATCAAGCAGGAGATCTGGGCGGCGATCGCCCGGCTGAAGACCGAAGCGGGTCTGTCGATCCTGATGATCGACAAGTCGCTGAAGGAATTGCGGGCGATCTGCGACCGGGCGACGATCATCGAGCGCGGCCGAACCGTCTGGCGGGGTGAGATGGCGGCGCTGACCAACGACGTGACCGAGAAATATGTGGGGGTCTGATGCGGTTATCCACCGGGGCACCTGCCCGGCAGATGACCGCTGAAGGCCGAACAGATTATGGACCAACGATCATGACCACCAAGACGATACAGCCGGACGATTGGGCGCCCGCCCGGGGATATGCCAATGGCATGCTGACGCCGGACGGCACGCTGCAGATCGGCGGGCAGATCGGCTGGAACAAGGACCAGGTGTTCGAGACGCACGATTTTGTCGGGCAGTTGGAGCAGACGCTGCGCAACATCGCCGCGATTGTCGAGGCCGCCGGCGGCAAGGTCACGGACATTACCAGGCTGACCTGGTTCATCACCGACAAACGGGCCTATGTCGCCCGGCAGAAGGAGGTGGGCGCTGCCTACCGCGCGGTGTTCGGCAAGCACTTCCCGGCGATGTCGGTGGTCGTCGTCAGCGGGCTGATCGAGGACGATGCGCTGATCGAGATCGAAGCGACGGCGCATCTGGCCTGAATTCGTCTCCAACGGCAGGGACCTTCGCCGACCCTTTGTGCACGTCGCTCGCGGCTGCCATGGGCCGGGACGGTTTGATGCCCTGGCCGTTCATTTCACGGAAGCCAGAACACGCGTTCCATCGACGCCCACCATTCACCGTCGCGACGCGTTTCGAAGGGCTGTTGCAGCGGGTCGCAGATTTTCCACCATTCCTGCATTGCAGGCTTGTCGCGCATGATCGCCATGTCGCGCCCGAAATCGGAACCGACATATTCCCAGTAGGCGAACAACAGGTTCTCGGGCTGCTTGAGGAAGATCGAATAGTTGCGGATGTTTGCTGCCGAAATGGCAGCCAGCACGTCCGGCCATACGTCGGTGTGCAGTTCGCGATACCGTTCGACCTGATCCGCCTTCAGGCCGATACATAAACCCATACGTTGCATTTTCGTGTCCTTCCCGCATCGGCCGGCCGGCGTGCCGCCTTGACCCGTATCGACTGTTATATTAGTATTCTTATATTCCCATCGAGTTGCAACACCGTTTTTCAGGCGATTTTCAGACCATGTTGACGGCACCGACAGCGCGCGCACTCAGACTTACCGATGCCGATAACATCGTCGTGGCGATCGAGCCGTTCAGCGCCGGCGACGCGTTCGCCGGCGTCACGGCTTCGCAACGCGTGCCGCGAGGCCACAAGATGGCGGTGGAGGCAATCGCGCGCGATGCGGCCGTGGTCAAGTACGGGCAGGTGATCGGCTTCGCCAGGGAAGACATCACGCCGGGAAGCTGGGTGCACGAGCACAATGTCTATCTTCACAGCTTCGATCGCGATTACGCTTTCGGCACCGAAACCAAGCCCACCGCGTTCGTCACGCCGGAACGAAGACGCACATTCCAGGGCTTCCGCAGGGCCAACGGCAAGTACGGCACCCGCAACTATGTCGCCGTGCTGACGTCGGTGAACTGCTCGGCGAGTGCCGCGCGCTTCATCGCCGACCACGTGACGAGGTCCGGTATCCTTGCCGACTATCCCAATGTCGACGGTGTCATTTCGCTGGTGCACGGCACCGGCTGCGGGCTGGACACGCATGGCGAGGCCTACGAGCTTCTAAAGCGCACGCAGTGGGGCTTTGCGACAAATCCCAACGTCGGCGGCGTGCTGATGGTGGGCCTGGGGTGCGAGGCGTTCCAGATCCCGCGCTGGATGCGGTCCTATGGCATCAGCGAGGACGCGACCTTTCGAACGCTGACGATCCAGGAAGTGGGCGGCACGCGCAAGACGGTGGAGGCGGGGGTGCGCGCGGTCGAAGAGATGCTGCCGATCGTCAACGAGGCGACACGCGGCGAGGCGCCGGCTTCGGAACTGATGCTCGCGCTTCAGTGCGGCGGCTCCGATGGCTATTCGGGCATCACGGCCAACCCTGCGCTGGGCGTGGCGGTCGATCTGCTGGTGGCCGAAGGCGGCACCGCAATCCTGTCGGAGACGCCGGAGATCTACGGTGCCGAACACCTTCTGATGCACCGTGCCGGTAGCACGCAGGTGGGCGAGAAGCTGGCGGAGCGCATCCGCTGGTGGGAGGACTATACCGCGCGCCACAACATGGAGATGAACAACAATCCGTCGCCCGGCAACAAGGCGGGCGGGCTGACGACGATCCTCGAAAAGTCTCTGGGAGCGGCGGCGAAGGGTGGCTCGACCAACCTCAACGGTGTCTTCGACTATGCCGATCCGGTCACGGCAAAGGGGTTGGTGTTCATGGACACGCCCGGCTACGACCCGGTCTCGGCGACGGGGCAGGTGGCCGGCGGCGCCAACGTGCTCTGCTTCACCACGGGGCGCGGTTCGGCCTTCGGTTGCAAGCCGACGCCTTCGCTGAAGCTGGCTTCCAACTCGTACATCTACGAGCAGATGAACGAGGACATGGACATCAACTGCGGCGATGTCCTCGATGGGGTCTCGCTGGCGCAGAAGGGTGAGGAAATCCTGCAGCGGGTTCTGGCGGTCGCGTCGGGCGAGCGGACCAAGTCCGAACAACTCGGCTACGGAGACAGCGAATTCGTTCCCTGGTCGGTCGGGGCGACCATGTAGGGCCGCGCCGCCGCGTCAGGCGGCAGCGTCGAGTTCGCTCCACAACGCATCGGGTATCGCGCGCTCGAACCAGTCGACGCTGGACGCCACATCTTCGGCGGTTCTGGCGCCGACAAGCACCGACGTGACGGCTTCGTTGCGCATCGGAAACTGGAGTGCGGCAGCACCCAAAGGCACGTCGAAGCGGGCGCAGGTGGCGGCGAGACGATCGACCTTGCCGACGATCTCCGGCGGGGCGTCGCGATAGTCGAACTTGCGGTCGCCCGCATTGCCTGCCGCGAGGATGCCGGAGTTGTAGACGCCGCCCGCCACGATCGCGACATCGCGCGACTTCGCCTTGGCCAGAAGCGCCTCGCCCGACCGGTCGAGCAGCGTGTAGCGTCCGGCAAGAAGACAGCAATCGATGTCGGTCTCGTTCATCGCCTCGTCGATCGCCCGGGTCTCGTTGACCCCGAGGCCGAAGCCCTTGATCAGGCCCGCCGCCTTCAATTCGCGCAGTGCCCGGAAGCCGCCGCCGGTCAGATCCCTCCATGTCCGATCGTGCCGTTCGCCGTGGGTGACGCGGCCGATGTCGTGCACGAACAGCAAATCGATGTCCGGCAGGCCGAGGCGCTGCTGGCTGTCGTCGAAACTGCGCATCAGGCCGTCATAGCTGTAGTCGAAGACTTCGCGGAACCGAAGGCCGTTGTTCCAGCCGGTATCGAACGGGTTCTTCGGTGGTTCGGGCGGCAGTTCGCGGCCCGGGCGGGGCAGGGCCATCAGCCGGCCGACCTTGGTGCTGATGACAGCCTCCCCGGGGGCAATGTTTCCTTCGCGCAGGAAGTGCCCGAGAAGATGCTCGGCCCGCCCGAGCCCGTACATCGGCGCCGTATCGAAATGGCGGATGCCCGCCTGCCAGGCCGTCCGCAGTGCAGCCAGTGCGTCGCTCGCGGTGATGGACCGGTAGAGCCCGCCGAACGCGGCGCAGCCCAGTCCCAGCGCTGTCAACTCCAGACCGGCCCGCTTCACGGCCCTGCGTTGCGCTACCTTCACCTGCGTTCCTCCGGTCATTTGCCTTGTTTTGCGTGGGCCCGCAACGCAGCGCCGGGCCGCTCGGGTCAGGGCTCGCGCTCGCCGGCGTTCGCGTCGAGATAGGCAAGCGTGTTGTCGAGCGACGTCTGGAGATGGTTTTCCAGGGCCCGCATCGAGGCCTCCTGATCGCGTTTTGCCAGCGCTTCGAGGATGGCGCGGTGCTGGGCGATCGTCTGCTGGCCGGCGCCGGGGCTCGGCAGGGCCAGCAGCCGGCAGCGATCCATCTGGGCCTTGGATATGTCGACCACCTTCCACAGCATGTGCAGTCCGTTGACCTCGGCGATGTAGCGGTGAAAGTCGTCGTCGCGCGCAATCGCCTCGTCATATCGCGAGCGCTTCACCGCGGTCTCATGCGCATTGACGATGTCTTCGAGGTCCTGGACGTGGGAAGGCGTGATGCGCGGGGCAGCACGCTTGATGCTTTCCATTTCGAGCGCGATGCGGATGATGTATGATTCTTCGACCTGCTCGCGCCTGATGTCGGCGACAAAGGTGCCGTGCTGCGCGAAGACCCTGACGAGGCCCTCGTCGCTAACCTTCTTGACCGCTTCGCGCACGGGGGTGCGCGAGATGCCCAGTCGGGTCGCGATGTCGATCTCATTGATGGGCGCGCCGGGCGCAAGCTTGCCGGTGACGATGGCCCTGCGGACGAGCGAGTAGACCTGATCGCGCAGCGGGATCGCCCTGTTGAGAGCAACGCCGCCGAGAAAGGCCGACAGGCGGTCTTCGCTGGTCTGGTCGGGTGATCTTGAAATCATTGTCCCGTCCTCACGGCAGTTTGCGGTCACGTAGGGCACGGGCGATGCCCCCGTGCCGGCTGGCTGTGTGAAGGCCGTTTCCGGCTTCACGAGGCTTGCATTATACTAGTGTAATATGCAAGGGCAATGCCGGAAATGCCGTTGCGCGGAATGAGCTGGCCACGGCCCGCAGGACATCGATCGGGGAGGATGGAGCAATCAACAAGTTGGATCTTGAAGGCCAGGTTGCAGTCATCACCGGCGGCGCACAGGGGCTGGGGTTTGCCTTTGCCAGGCGTGTTCTGGCCTCCGGCGCAAGGGTCTGTCTTTGGGACATTGGCGGCGAACGGCTGGCGGCCGCAAAGGCGGAACTCGGTGCGGGCGCCGATATGGCGGTCGTGGATATCGCCGACGCCGAGGCAGTCGCGGCAGCCCGCAAGGAGACCGAAGAGCGCCTCGGCCCGGTTTCCATCCTGATCAACTCGGCCGGCATTGCCGGTCCCAACCATACGCTCGAGGACTATCCGCTTGACGACTGGCGGCGCGTGGTCGACATCAACCTGAACGGCACGTTCTACGTGAACCGGGCCGTTGTGCCTTCGATGAAGGCGCGGAACTATGGGCGTATCGTCAACGTCGCCTCGGTAGCCGGCAAGGAAGGCAACCCCAACGCTTCGGCCTATTCCGCATCCAAGGCGGCGGTGATCGGCCTGACGAAATCGCTGGGCAAGGAATTGGCCGGCTTCGACATCGCGGTCAATTGCGTTACGCCGGCCGCCGCCCGCACGCCGATCTTCGACCAGATGAAGCAGGAGCATATCGACTACATGCTGTCGAAGATTCCGCGCGCGCGTTTCCTTGAGGTGGATGAGGCGGCGAACATGGTGGCCTGGCTGGTTACAAAGGAAAACAGCTTCACCACCGCGTCGGTCTTCGACCTTTCCGGCGGCCGCGCCACATACTGATCGTTTCATTCGGGAGATAGTCATGAAGCTTGTTCGTTTTGGCGATGCCGGTGCCGAGAAGCCGGGCCTGATCGATGCCGACGGGGAGATCCGCGATCTTTCCGGCGTCATCGCCGACATTGCGGGCGAGCATCTGCACCCCGACGCCCTGACGGCGCTGTCGCGAACCGATCCGCAAAGCCTGCCGCTTGTCTCCGGCAAGCCGCGCATCGGCCCGTGCGTTGCAGGGACAGGCAAGTTCATCTGTATCGGCCTCAACTATGCCGACCATGCCGCCGAGTCGGGCATGGAGGTGCCCTCCGAGCCGGTGATCTTCATGAAGGCGTCCTCGGCGATCGCCGGCCCGGACGACGACGTTCTGATCCCGCGCGGGTCGGAAAAGACCGACTGGGAGGTCGAACTCGGCGTGGTGATCGGCAAGCCGGCCAAATACGTCGCCGAAGCCGATGCGATGGATCATGTGGCCGGCTATTGCGTGACGCATGACGTTTCCGAGCGCGCCTTCCAGGCAGAACGGCAAGGCCAGTGGACGAAGGGCAAGAGCTGCGACACGTTCGGTCCCGTCGGTCCCTGGCTGGTCACACGAGACGAGATCGCCGATCCGCAGAACCTCGGCATGTGGCTGAAGGTGAACGGTGAGACCATGCAGGACGGTTCGACGAGGACGATGGTCTACGGCGTGGCGCATCTGGTCGCCTACCTGTCGCAGTTCATGTCGCTGCTGCCCGGCGACATCATCTCGACCGGCACGCCGCCCGGCGTCGGCATGGGCATGAAGCCGCCGCGCTATCTCAGAGACGGCGATGTCGTCGAACTCGGCATAGAAGGGCTGGGAAGCCAAAGGCAGACGTTCCGCGCGGACGGGTAGGACAGGCAGATGGCCGCCGCGCCCGTCATCGACGCCCATCATCACTTCTGGCAGGTCCGGCGCGGCGACTATCACTGGATGGCGCCCTGGATGGGCGAGCCGCTCCATCGCGACTTCATGCCGGAAGACCTTGCCCCGCTGCTGCGCAAGGCCGGCGTGGACGCGACGGTGGTCGTGCAGGCGGCGCAAACCGAGGCGGAGACCGCATTCCTGCTGGAGCTGGCGGCGCAAACGCCGTTCGTCGCCGGCGTCGTCGGCTGGCTCGACATGGACGAGGCCGGCTTCGGCGCCAAGCTCGATCTGCTGGCGCGGCAACCCAAATTCGTCGGCCTGCGGCCGATGCTGCAGGATCTGGCGGACGACGCCTACATTGTGCGACCCGCGGTGCTTGCCAATCTCAAGCTGCTGGCGGAGCGCGGCATCGCTTTCGACATTCTGGCTTGTCCCCGACACCTGCCGCATGTCGTTCGCGCGCTGGAAGCGGTGCCGGGCCTGAAAGCCGTCATCGATCATATCGCCAAGCCGGACATCGCGTCCGGTGCGTTCGACGGATGGGCCGGGAACGTGGCAAGCGTCGCTTCCTTCCCGAATGTGCATTGCAAGCTCTCGGGCATGATCACCGAGGCCGACCATCGGCTGTGGAGGCCGAAGGACCTGGAACCTTATTTGGATCATGTCGTCGGGCTGTTTGGCCCCGACCGGCTGATGTTCGGGAGCGACTGGCCGGTATGCCTTCAGGCGGGCAGCTATGCCGAGGCCCTGCAGGCGCTTCGGGCGATCCTCGACGGGCGCCTCACGGAAGCGGCAAGGGATGCGGTCTACGGCCTGAACGCGTTACGCTTCTACGACCTTGCTCTGTAGGCCGCGGAGAAAGCCGGAGGGCGTCGCTTGCGTCGTCTATTATATTAGTGTAATAGAACAATGCATATCCGATGCCGGAATGAGGGGCAGGGGTGTGCCGTCGGGAGGAAGGGTATGTCGGCTGTGGCAACAGCTCTCCGCATGCGGGGGATCAGCAAGACTTTTCCGGGCGTGAAGGCGCTTTCGAACGTCAATCTGACGGTCGATTTCGGTCGCGTTCATGCGATCGTCGGCGAAAACGGCGCCGGCAAGTCGACGCTGATGAAGGTGCTCAGCGGCACCTATCTGCCGACGACGGGGACGACCGATATCGCCGGTGTCGAAGTGCGCATGCGCAAGCCCGCCGACGCGCAGAGACTTGGCATCCGCATGGTTCATCAGGAACT